AACCCAAACAGTAAAAATGTCAATTAATAAGCGATTAAGCCCAAATCAACAATTAAAATAAGTAAAAAAAGATAAATAAATAAGGGAAAATAATGACTCATCATGCATCTCAATACTTGGTCTTCGTCTGAGCATTTGTCATTAATGCTTTGACTTTCTTTGGTTTGGTAAACATTGTAGATGGATAGACTTTGTTTTCGTTTGGAATGCTTACCAAGCCTTTGTCCTGGATGGTAACCCTTATTAAGCAATGTTTGTGCTACAAAGCTTTCATGGTTTGAGACATTTTTAACATTGGCGATCTCTAGTACTTGGAGAGCATTTTCCAAGCCTTCCTCCATTGTACCCACATATGAAGTGGGTTGTTGATGAGTAAATCTTCCTCAGCTTGAAGCGCTATCGGTTTGCCATCCACCATGAACTTAACTTTTGGTGGAACGAGGAGGGTACAACTTGTGCTTGATGCATCCATGACCCTTCTTAGGAGGCAACTGTAGGCAAGAGCGATAATAGAGCTCGGAGTAGAATTTTTCAATTTTTAGCTCGAGCAATCATTGCTTTTTTATTTTTTTATTTTTTTTATCCCTAACTTTTTCATAGGACGTATCCTATCGGGATCTTTAGCCCTTTTTTTTTGCTTAAGACCCTTGTCTTGGCAGGCTTTTTCTTACCCTGATTTTTGTCTAGAACGCCCTTTGCAGGTCTTCGTCCTAAAGGGATCTTAACAAGCAATGCCTTCAAGCGCTATGCTTTCTTCTCCATTTTGGAATTATCTTGGTAAGAAAGCTCTATTCACTCCGCCTTACATGTTCGAGAAATTCATCCTCTTCCTCGGGTTCCTCTCCTTTCTTCTTTGAACTTCTCCTTTTCTTTGGAGATTTTATCTTGCAACTTATTAGGAGTATGGATCCATTCACTCCTAGTAATTCCTCCTATTTGGTGATGTTGGATGAGTCTTTAGTTGATGACGTTTGGATACCGTAGACCCTTGACATAGTTTTATCCTTATCGTTTGGGAGAGGACTCGACATCTTGATCATAAATTGTTTCCATGTTCCTTGCCCTTTAATGTATAGACTTGATTATCAGTGGCTTACTTTCCATGATTAACACGCATAGGTCAATTTATTTATTTTTTTTAATTTTTATTTATTCATTTACTAGGAAGGATATGCTTTAAATGAATGCAATGTAGAATGTAGAGAAAATTAAGAATTGATAAATATCAATCTCATGGATTTGTTTATCAATGAACACTCAATGTTTTTAATAGATTTTGATAATATTGCAAAAGATTCTAAAGAGACATCAAGGTGGCCGATGTCTATGCAAAACATGCCTTATAGTGCCTAAGTCTACACTAGTTGTTTTTTTTCGTTTAAGATATTTTTCCTAGGTCAACTCATAATTTTCCCCCACTTTTTCTTATAACTTTTTTTTTTTTTTATGTTTTAGTTCTAATGGGCTTTTGCAAGCAGTGTAGATTAGGTTCCAAAAAGGCTTGTTTCAACAAATATTTTTTTTTATCAAAATGAAGGGCCAACCGTAGTATTTTTTCAAAATCAATTTGGGCTTTTATTTAGAGTGTAGATATTGTTTATCTTAGACATGATGTATTTTAAGACATTCCTTTCTTAATTATCTATACATGATGCTAAATAATCCTTCCGTAATCTAAGGAAAATAAATGCATGGTGGAGTAATGAGCTAGCCTAAAAATGTATGACATTTTTTTTTGCCTACACTTTATCATGTTTTTTTTATCTAAGGAGAGATGATGCATGATAAAGATAGGGTTTTTTTATTCATTTTTTTAAAAAAAGTAAAAAAACTAATTATATGATGCTAGTGGAATAATGACCTAAGAATGTATAAAAGGGTATTAATTTCTTTATTTATTATTATTATTATTATTATTTGCTATTTGCTTAAAATCCAATCCACTCCTATTGAAAACAAACAATGCAAACAAACTAGTGCACACACATATGCTCAATCAACATACACCCACGAACAGTCATGTTCAAATCCATGGATTGAGGTCCTTGCAAAAAGGTGCATGGTGTTAGGTGGTTCTAACTGTTCTCACCGATCTTAAAGGTCCCCAAGGTGCCCCTATTATAGGAACCCAATATCTTTGTCACTGTCAATTGGCAGACTCTATGGTTCGTCCAAAGTATCGAGCAAGAGTAACTGGTTATCACCTTAAGTGTGATTTCTGACAACAACCTGGGGGCTCTATGGCCCATTCGACGGTTGTCTGTACATCAATCACTCCCTATGTTCATCTCTCTTGCCCCCGAGTATAGAGGGAACTTGTAGTGTGCAAAGGTTTATCTACAGTTTATTTTAAACAAAGGCAAAAATTTAAACAAGCACACAGATATTAAAGTCATACTAGAAACATATATTTACAAACAAGGTAAAAGAGGTAAAAATCTAATTATTATTTTTTATTATGCTGAATTCATCATTAAATGAGTTTGACCCTCTTTAAGCTTTCCTAATGAAGTCACCATTTGTTGGAACTCAAAAAATTTTGATCTTGCCCATAGATGGTTTGGACTTCGTTTGAAAATCTCATTAGTTTAGGAACATCCTAAAACTGGACTAATCCTCCACCAATGGCTTTTGAAATGAATTCAAAGGAGTCGCAACCAACATTTTGCTCAAAATTTCGAAAAAAGAAAAGGGTTTTCATTAATCAAGAATGACCTTTATAGCCAGAATCTAAGTTCAGGGTCGATTACGTGTGGGAAAGGTATTAGCACCCTACAGTATCCTAACTCAGTATCCTATGATGAGTTTAGCATCATAATAAACATAATTAAATATTTATCCCTTTTTTATTAGACATTTAAGTGTTTATTATCTACATGATTATTGATTCATTACATGCTAATAGGGTTATGAATACATATAACAAGAAAGAAAAGAGAGAGAAGGAATTAACAATAACCTCCGAGGCAAGTCTTTATAATTAAATCTTCAAATGATGGTGCAAAGGAATGTTTTGGCAGCCTTTCGCTCTACAAAATCCTCATAGACACTTAAGAATATATATATATATAAAAAAAGGGAGGGTAATGAATCTAATAGGAGTTTTCCAACTGTGTGTGAAGTGTTGAAGACTGAGCCCTATGCATGCTTATATAGGTACCCAGGGATGGGGAACGACCGTTCCAAACACTAAAACGACCGTTCTAGACCTCAAAATAACACTTAGAAGGTCTTTGGGAATGGAGCATTCCAAATTAGGGTTCTAGTGTAAATTTCTGGTTGGGAATGACTATTCCAAGGTTGGGTAGGGTCGTTCCCAACTTGTTTTTTGTTCATTGATTTTGAATTGGGAACGGTCGTTCCATGCCTTGAACTAGGGCTTTGAGTCTTCTGGGATTTCTAGTATTGTCTTAGTCTGTTTCAGTGTTTTATTTGACCCTCGAAGGTCGCTCTTCGCATCCTAGTGGCCTTTTGTCCTTAGCGAGGTGATCTGGACGAAATATGATGTCTACACTACCTTATATTAATGATCTGCAACCAAGGTCTCCTAAAACCACTAAATAATTCATATCGATTTCCATACATACTCACACAAAGTAATCAAGCTTGGGAACCTTCCTTTTAGTGAAAGGCTCTATCCCGGGATGAAAAGAAAGAAAGAGGGAAGGCCAAGTACGAAATCACACAGATCGGGCTGGAGCTTGACAAGAGCGATACAGGAAACTATACAATTAAAGGCTAGCAAGAAGAAGCAAAAAGATAATAAAAGCTCAAGGAGTTCATCACGAAGGCAAGTGCTCTAGCAGAAGCTATCAATTCAAAGGGAAATCACATTTAATATTTAAAGTATATGAATCCACTTTGATTGATTTCCTTATAGTTACAACCATTGCTAAAAGAATGATCTCGTTATAAAACATTAAGGCTTGAAAACCTCATCCAAACTAGCGCTTTATTGATTGTTTTTCCTTCTATGAGAATAAATCTTAGGACCATGTTTGAACATTCAAGTAATGATCAAACAACATGCAAGACCTTTTTACCACAACCTCCCACCTATCATCCTTATTGTCAAATTTAACCATAAAAAAACTATGGCTAATATCCATAAAAGCAAAACCAACAATCAATTTCCATATGCGCTTGAGGAGATCCCCATAGTATTATTAAATCCAATTGTTTTATCGAGCTTTATCACCAAAGCATCCTACCATGATAGCCTATTTAAATTAGTTAAGATCAAATTTATTTGATTTGAATAAAAAAAATCAATTTAATTAATTCAGTTTAAATTGTGAATTTTATCAAATTATACAAATTGACATACACCTCTATTTCTTTCTATTAACGCAAATACATCTTCAACATTAATTTGATACCACCGACTCTTTCTATCAACGAATTTACGTACTCAGTGATAAAAATAAAATGTTATTTTTTATGCTTTAAAATAAAAGGTCATCTTATAATCAATGAAAAATGCCAAAAAAAAAATGATAAATCAAAAGCACAACACTTATGATCCGGAGAGCCTGAAAGTCTTGGTAGTCGGTCGTCGTCTTCAAAGGTCAAGGGTCAAAAAAGTTCAATTAACGCATTCATATTTATTATTTCATTTCATACCTTTTCTTTACTAGTACTATAGTTGTCTTAAAGCAATTGATTTTAATTAATAAGCATTTCACACGAGAAAAATGCAATTTGGTAGTCTCATTTTATATTGCATCAATTGATTACAATTTAAATATTATTAGTAATTAATTACTATAAATAAATAAACAAACATGTCTGAATATTTTAATCGACTCCAGAATAGTATACAATTTGAATCTAAAACTGTGTAGGGA